AGTTATAACATTTCAAGAAATAGATGTGAACAGGAAAATAATGTAATTATTAATATTGAGGATCTAGGGTGCGTTGTGTATGACGAAGCTGGTGTTCTGAAAAATGTGAATGCCTTTGTAATTACGTAATTAATAATGAGAACTGTGTTGATAATAAAATCAATTTATAAGACAATGATGTTAATATAGTAAATCTAACTGATATAATATCTAACCACGATACTTTGTCTCTCAGAAACTTAAATGATATTAGCTCTAATAATTTTGACGTCAAAAGTGCATGAAAAGGTCGACTCCAATGATAATACGTTAACAAATCATTCAAAAACACCAGGAGAAAAAAAATAGCCGAACCAAAGGAATGGGACAGAAATAAAGCGAAAATACTGCGTATAAAAGGTTCTGCGTATTTGGGTTATAGAAGAGAAAATTTGAAGAACACTAAAAATATATTACATGACGTAATGCGAGAATCGAGGAAGATGGGAGCCACATGCAATTCTCCAACCTGTAGACGTTGGAAAAATAGACATTGTAACACAATATCTGAAGATGAAAGGAAACAAATGTTCAATGAATTTTGGAAAGAAATGAATTGGGAATCAAAGAAGATGTTTGTTTGCTCAACTGTAGATATTTTGGGAACAAAACAAAAACCAGTTGAAGGCACTAATTTCAGAAGAGACTCAAGTTTTTTTTACTTTCTACGTATAAACGGAAAAAAAGTACCACTATGTCAATCAATGTATCTTAGTACACTAGGCTTAAAAATATCTGAGGTCCGATATTGGATTCAAAATTACAAAAGTACTAACTTTCCCACTATAAAATGCAATTCATTTATTGATGACGATGAAAACAATGAAGAAGATAACGCCATAGAAGAAAATAGACCAATAGTGAAAAAATCATTCCAAAAAACAGTTACAGTGCAACGTTTTTTTGACTCTTTGCCTACACTACCATCGCATTATTGTAGAAAGACGTCTAAAAAGCTTTTTCTTCAAACTGATGTCAAGTATTGGACACAACTCTACAACATGTACATAGAAAAGTGTAACAATAATTCTGAAGAACCAGTTTCTAGGCATACGTTTGATCGCGAGAAAAAAAGGACGTAATATCGAATTTTATATTCCTAAAAAGAATCGCTATGATACATGTACAAGTTTTGAAAACAACCACGTAAATAATGAGCTATATGAAAAACACCTCAAAAGAAAAGAATCAGCCCGTAATGAAAAGCAAAAAGATAAAGATTTTGCGAAACAAGAAATATGTCATACTATCTGTTGTGATCTGATGGCTGTATAATGTGTTCCTAATATAAGAGCCTCTTCTGCTTACTATAAATTAAAATTGACAGCTCACAACTTTACTGTTTATAACTTGGCTACACATGACGCCATATCATATTGGTTTGATGGATCAGAATGTTCAATGTCTGCTTCTGTTTTTGCATCATGTCTTGTTGACTATTTATGTCAATTACTTGATCATCTTTCCGTGTGTTGCGGGGTCGACCAGTTCTTCCGGGTTGCCCCGGAGACACTCAGCCCCTTTGTATAACCGCGGGGTTATCTCTTCCGGGCAGTAGTCCCGGATGACTCCGGGGGGTCCTGCCCAGGGCGCCGCCTCACCACGGGCGCCATAATGAGTGACCGCCGCGGCCAGAGCCCGACGGATTATCGCCTGAGTCAAACCCCTTCTACTAAGGCGGTACTCCCACAGCCACCACGAGTCCTTCCTCAAGTGTGCCTTTCCCGGTGCGGGCGAGCGCGAGTCCTCGGTGAGTCCACGGGGTCGTGCGCCTCGGTCCCAGCACCCCCGGAGCGTCGAGGCGCTATTAGCAAGCCGACTCGACGGGGCTTACTCCGAGTCCCGTGGTACAAGGTTTGAACCCGGCGTTCAGGCCCTCGCAACTGCCTTATCCGCAAGCAGGTCGATCGGGGCACCGCTGTGTGTACCGCGACGACCCCTTTATAGCGCGTACGGTTTCGATCTTTATCGACAGATTGCCGTTTCTGCCGGTGCCTCTCTCGTATCAAGCCCCGAGCCGGCTGAATACGTGCACGTGCATCGCCCGACGGGTGTTCTGGCCCCTCTAGTTCGAGCTCTCGGTCTAGGCAAGCATTTGTTCATAGGGAGTGAGGGCACCCAATTCGCCCCGCGAGATGTTCCGTCCGTCCCGTCTCCGTGGAGGTCGGGCATTCAGTCCGTCCCGCCGGGTATCCCGTCCCTCGCTCCCGGCTAGGCGGGTCTTAGTACGGAGGGCGTTCGACGATCCTGTGGGGGCGCCGTCTTAGGGCCCTTTTGATCCGGCTATCGGGTCCCGCTTCGCCTGCCACTATCGGGTACTTCGCAGGCTTTCGCCCCGCCGCCATCGGTGACAGCGACGGTCGTTCCGGCTAGGCCCACTCGGACGATTTGTGCCCGCGTGGATAGAGGAGACTGTCCCCATGTCTCTGGCAGTGTGCCATGTCCTGCACGTACGCCCTCTAGCCACACGCCCGTCCGCTATGGTTTTAAAATTAGGGGTCCGGGTCGTGCCCGCGGGATCGCCCTACATCTTTACGTTCTAGGACTTCCCGGGAGAAGTTTTTGAACGCAAGGAACATAGCCTTCGTGGAGGTCATGGTATCGCAGTCGCACGGCCAGTCCACACCTTCCGCTTGCGCTGCGGCTGCGAGCTTGTTTCTTTCCTGGCTTCAATTACTTGATCAGTCAATGAGAACTATAATTGTGTACTCTGATGGCTGTGGTTATTAAAACCGCAATTCGATACTTTCAAACGCGTTGCTTCATCTGAGTGTTGACAAAAAGTAACTATAATCCAAAAGTATCTTGAAAAGAGACGCACTCAGATGGAGTGTGATAGTGCGCATAGTACGATTGAACGGAGCTATAAAGATATTGATGTTTATCTTCCAAGCCAGTATTCTATTCACACAATAGCTGCAAGGAAATTTCCGAAGCCGTATCATTCAAGACTTTTGGACCACACGTTTTTCAAAGATTTTTTAATAGCAGAAATGATGGTTTACAAATCAATAAAACCGGTACATCGCCCATGTGATCCGACAGTGAATGAGCTTCGTTGGATTCAGTACGAACCTACCGGTCTGATATACTACATGATCAGTTTTGAAGACGATCTTCAGCTAATTCCCACCAGGCCTAAACATGTCACCAAATTCAATTCATTTCCAAAATTATATGAATCGAGACCTACTATACCTAAAGATAAGTGGACTGACTTACAATCATTAAAGGCGTTTATGCCATCAGACACCCATACTTTTTACGACAATTTAATTTGTGAAGATGAGAGCAAAAGAACATTAAAACGTCAATAAGCGGCAGAAAAGAAAAACGAAAGCCAAAAAAAGTTAAAGAAAGTTACCAAAAAAGGAAAACTCAATGAGAAATTTTAAAACTGACTTTAATACACAAATTGTTATGTTTTTTTATTTTAAAAATTGTTATTAGTCAAGAAGACATATTATTATTATTATTTTTAATAAGCATTTTTCTATTGTGTTATACAACTGTTAAATATTTTATAATGAGAACCTAAAAACTCATTATTTTCGACACGAGGAGTGTTTTAATGTTATGCTTTATTTTATTTAGAATTTTCTGTTATTTCAATATTAAAAGAAGTGTTTTAATGTTTTTTTTTCATTCTATTTTGTTCACTATTAATTAAAAATTTATTATAAAACAAGTAACAACTATTAAACAGTATTTAATATGTTTAAATTTGATTAGTTTTGTCCTTCTGTAACATAGCCTATCTACATACAATTTGCATGACAACACCACATATCTCAAGTACTTTGGTTAATTTATTACTTTTTTGTTGTCTTTTAGTTAAAATCACAAAAAAAAATGCTTAGTTTAAGTAAATATGTAAAAATAATCATAAAATGTACTACCAATTACACAGAATTTGGTTTTTTTGTTCTCCTGTAAAATTGATAAAACTGAGATAGGCAGTGTTGCTTCTTAAGCGACGATATGTGATTATTAACCTTACTTATAAATGAAAGAGAAAGCTTATTATGTTGGACCGACCCATTCAACGGTCGAGTTGTTTCTGATGAATTCATTAAATGCGATAAAATACGCGGTCGTTTAATATTATGAAAAAAAGATGGAAACGTAATCTAATCTAATAATATATAAATATACAATTTACATGTTAAATATTAAAAAATATTTTTACACCAAGCTCCCTGGCAACAAATGTTGTATTTTATTTTATTTATTATTTTTATATTTTATTTTTATTTTATTTTCCATCGCCGATACCCAACAGTTGTTATAAATATTTGTGGTGAGCCACCCTTTACACCTAGGGGTATGAAAAATAGTTTACATCACTCACTGAGACCTACTTAATATACACAAAAGATTTCATGAAAATCGGTCCAGCCGTTTCGGAGGAGTTTGGTAACAAACTTTGTAACACGAGATTTTTATATATTAGATAGATAGATTATAACTAGTGATGTTACGAACCCTGATTTTTAAAGTCGAACCGAACCCGAACCAAACTCTTCTTTAAATTAACGAACTCGAACCGAACCGAACTTTTCAAATATTTTATCGAACTCGAACCGAACATTAAAAAAGTCCAAAGGTTAAAAATGTATTATTAATTTATTGTTTACTATTTAGTATTTAGTATTTACTATAAACTTATGATTATCTTATAAAATATAAAGTTGCTTGCTAGTAAACTTGCTAGTTGCTACTATTTCCTATTATTTTTTATTTACATTTTGTATCAAATTTTAAATTATATAATTAAATATTAATTTAAATATTGTCATGTAAGAACACCAATTTTTTCAACTGATTGAGGTGATAACCTTTGTCTTCGAGCTGTAACCACTTGTCCTGCTTTGGAAAACATCCGTTCGCTACAAACTGATGTTCCTGGAATACTAAGGTACTTCAATGCAACAGGAACCAAACTTGAAAATTTTTCAGTATTAGTTTTCCACCATACAAGGGGGATTTGATGTAGGAGGAAGAAGTGGTTGATGCAAATATTCCTGTATCTAAAAAAATTAAAAAAAATTCAAGTAGATAATCATATAATATTTTAATAATTAATATCTACTATTAAATAGATAAGCAAGAAGTGATCTTACCTCATTTTTAACACAGCTTGTTAGTCCTTCATTGCCAGTACTGGAGATTGATCGCTCTTGAAGAATAACCCACAGTGAATTTGTCGGAACAGGTACTGTTATGGGTTGTATATTTTGTTCAGTTGTTTCTAGTTTTGTATCACTTGTTAATTTAAAACTCTCAACTTCTGTTGTAAGCAAACGTTTTACATTTTCTACTTCATACGATTCCATAAGTATAGTTTTAAATCTAGGATCAATTGCTGTTGCTAGTAAGTATGCTGGGTCATTTTTGCATACTTGAAATCTATTAGATATAGATTTTTTCAAGCTTCTAGCAAATATCCTAATCCTGCTGCTGTATTGCTATTTTTCACAATAAAATTGTTTAATTTTGTTTCTATGGTATATATTATTGGGTTTACCATTAAAAATGTTGGTATATCTTCTTGGCTAAATTCCTTTGTTGCTTCAAGAACAGGCTTTAATATTTCAACATATCCATTAATAAGTTTCCACTCTCCTACTGTAATATTAATGTCTTTTACCCAGTTTTGCAAATCCAAAACAATTGCTTCTTTTTGTTCTATTATGCGCTCCAACATTAAAAACACACTGTTCCAACGAGTCTCGACCATTTGTATGAGCTTATGGTTTGGAAGATTTAATCGAACTTGAATTTGTTGTAAACGTTCCCAAGATTTGTTACTGTGGTTATAATGAGTTACAATTGAACGACACTTTTTTAATAAACTTTCCATATTATTTTCTTTTAAAGCATCTTGGATGGCCAATTGTAATGTGTGGGCTGCACAAAAATAGTGATGTAAGTTATCATTGGAATTATATTTATTTAATGCACAACTTATATTTCTTGCATTGTCTGTGACCATATAAATAGGAATATTTAAACTTAAAATATCCATGTTCCATTCACTAACCATAGATTTAATTTTAAGAAAAATACTTTTTCCATCATGTTCACCTGGAAAGTATGAACATCCTAGTGTTTTGTTACGAAGCTCAAATTGTTTTGTTAAATAATGTGTTGTTAGTGATATATATGGTTGTTGAGCCCCACTTGTCCATATATCAAAAGTAAATGATATGGATTGCATACTATTCAATTCAGTGTTAATTTCTTCTTTGAGTAGAGATAATTTTTTTGAATACAGCCGAGGAATTGCAGTAGAAGCTAAA